TAAGTGTTCTGGAATACTCATACTTCTCAATGTTGTCCATAGCTTGTCATGATCCACACAATCGAAAGCCTTTGCGTAGTCAATAAAGCACAGGTAAACGTCCTTCTGGTATTCTCTGTTTTCAGTCAAGATCCATCGGATATCAGCAATGATATCTCTTGTTGCATGGCCTCTTCTGAATATAGCTTGAACCTCTGGAAGTTCTCTGTCAATGTATGATTGTAGCCATTTCTGTATTACCTTTAGCAAAACTGACTCATAGCAACCCAAAGTATAAAGCAGAACTGCCCCATCAGGTTTCTGAGACTGCAAACCCTCGGGAGCAGACAGCTTCCTCTTTTACCTGAAGATCAACTGGTGGATTTGAATGACCAGCCTTGCAGTTAGCAACCCAATGCTTAACCTGCTGTGTCTCATATACAAGTAAGTAACAAACAAAAGGGAGTTTCTACAATTTCTTCAAAATTTTCTTTAATCCCAGTCTCAGGAGAAAATTTGAAATGTAAAGCTATTTACCTTTCCCTGGACGAACCATTTTTCCAGTACAAGAAGCCAGAGCCAGGCTAATCTTTGAGGGCTGATATCCTGTCCCCATCTGTAAAGTGTAAAAAGAATGTTAGCCTTTAAAACAAATTTCTGTTGCTACTTTCTCTCTTGTGATCCAAGACTGCGACCCTATTGCACCGTGTGTTTTAAACCCAAACAAGCTGAATGAGAACATTTCAAGTGGATTTGGCAGCTCTATTGCTGTTGCTGTTAGGTACTGTCAGGTCAGTTCCAACTCTTAGTGACCCTACGCAAAACAGAATCAAACACATTCTAGTGTTGCACCATCTTCACAATTTTTGTTAAACTTGAGCTCACAGCTGCCAATACTGTGCTAATCCATCTCCTAGGGGGTCTTCTTCCTTTTTGCTGACCCTCCACTTTATCAAGCATGTGTGCTCCTTCAGGGACTGGTCTCTTCTGATAACATGTCCAAAGTATGAGAGACAATGTCTCACTACTCTGGCTTCTAAGGAGCATTTTGGCTGTACTTCCAACACAAATTTGTTTGTTCTTTTGGAAGTCTAGCTCAATATTCTCCTCCAATACTATAACTCAAACGCATCAATTTTTCTCTGGTCTTCCTTATTCATTGTCCAGCTTTCACATGCATATGAGGCTACTGAAAATACCATGGCCTAGATCAGGTACACTTTAGTCCTCAAAT